CACTCATAGTGCAGGTGGGGCCAGGGAGAACGGAAATGCTCGTTTCTCAAAAAGTAGAGGGAATCTAATGGTCTCACTCGATCAGAAGGTGGGAAATATATAAATCTAGTCAGCTAAAAAGGTTTGAAATGTATTCAACGCACATGTATAGAGAAAATGGTGGATTGGCCAGGTCGGTCAGTATCGGAACTTAAAATACAAATGCCAGGGAGAACGGAAGCGCTCAGATCTCGCATAGTACACGCAATCTAGTGGTCTCACTCAAATAGAATGTAGGAAATAAATTCATCTAGTGAACGTAAGGGTTTGAAAGGTAACTAACGCACATGTGTAGAGAAAATGGTGCATCGGCCAGTCACGCCGGCATTTCGCACTTTTAGTGCAACTAGGGCCAAGGAGAACGGAAACGCTCATTTCTCAAAAAGTAAAGGGAATCTGGCGATCTCACTCGATCAGAAGGTGGGAAATATATAAATCTAGTCAGCTAATAATGTTCGGAAGAAATCTAATGCATATGTATATGGAAAGTGGTGCATTGGCCAGGTCAGTCAGTATGGGAACTTAGAGTGCAAATGCCTCGGAGAACGGAACCGCTCAGATCTCGCATAATACATGCATAATAGTGGTCTTACTCAAATATAAGGTAAGAAATATATGCATCTAGTGAATGTAAGGGTTTGAAAGGTAACTAACGCACATGTGTAGAGAAAATTGCGCATCGGCCAGTCTGGCCAGCATTTCGCACTTATAGTGCAAGTAGGGCCAAGGAGAACGGAAACGCTCATTTCTCAAAAAGTAGAGGGAATCTAGCGGTCTCACTCGATCAGAAGGTGGGAAATATATAAATCTAATGAGCTAATAAGGTTCGAAATGAATCTAATGCATATGTATATGGAAAATGGTGCATTGGCCAGGTCGGTCAGTATGGGAACTTAGAGTGCAAATGCCAGGGAGAACGGAAGCGCTCAGATCTCGCATAGTACACGGAATCTAGTGGTCTCACTCAAATAGAAGGTAGGAAATAAATTCATCTAGTGAACGTAAGGGTTTGAAAGGTAACTAACTCACATGTGTAGAGAAAATGGAGCATCGGCCAGTCTGGCCGGCATTTCGCACTTATAGTGCAAGTAGGGCCAAGGAGAACGGAAACGCTTATTTCTCAAAAAGTAAAGGGAATCTAGCACTCTCACTCGATCAGAAGGTGGGAAATATATAAATCTAGTGAGCTTATAAGGTTCAAAAGGAATCTAATGCATATGTATATGGAAAATGGTGCATTGGCGAGGTCGGTCAGTATGGGAACTTAGAGTGCAAATGCCTGGGAGAACGGAACCGCTCAGATCTCGCATAATACACGGAATCTAGTGGTCTCACTCAAATATAAGGTCGAAAATATATTGATCTAGTGAACGTAAGGGTTTGAAAGGTAACTAACGCACATGTGTAGAGAAAATGGTGCATCGGCCAGTCTGGCCGGCATTTCGCACTCATAGTGCAGGTGGGGCCAGGGAGAACGGAAACGCTCGTTTCTCAAAAAGTAGAGGGAATCTAATGGTCTCACTCGATCAGAAGGTGGGAAATATATAAATCTAGTCAGCTTAAAAGGTTTGAAATATATTCAACGCACATGTATAGAGAAAATGGTGCATTGGCCAGGTCGGTCAGTATCGGAACTTAAAATGCAAATGCCAGGGAGAACGGAAGCGCTCAGATCTCGCATAGTACACGGAATCAAGTGGTCTCAATCAAATAGAAAGTAGGAAATATATTCATCTAGTGAACGTAAGGGTTTGAAAGGTAACTAACGCACATGTGTAGAGAAAATGGTGCGTCGGCCAGTCTGGCCGGCATTTCGCACTTATAGTGCAAGTAGGGCCAAGGAGAACGGAAACGCTCATTTCTCAAAAAGTAAAGGGAATCTAGCGGTCTCACTCGATCAAAAGGTGGGAAATATATAAATCTAGTGAGCTAATAAGGTTCGAAAGGAATCTAATGCATATGTATATGGAAAATGGTGCATTGGCCAAGTCGGTCAGTATGGGAACTTAGAGTGCAAATGCCAGGGAGAACGGAAGCGCTCAGATCTCGCATAGTACACGGAATCTAGTGGTCTCACTCAAATAGAAGGTAGGAAATAAATTCATCTAGTGAACGTAAGGGTTTGAAAGGTAACTAACGCACATGTGTAGAGAAAATGGAGCATCGGCCAGTCTGGCCGGCATTTCGCACTTATAGTGCAAGTAGGGCCAAGGAGAACGGAAACGCTTATTTCTCAAAAAGTAAAGGGAATCTAGCACTCTCACTCGATCAGAAGGTGGGAAATATATAAATCTAGTGAGCTTATAAGGTTCGAAAGGAATCTAATGCATATGTATATGGAAAATGGTGCATTGGCCAGGTCGGTCAGTATGGGAACTTAGAGTGCAAATGCCAGGGAGAACGGAAGCGCTCAGATCTCGCATAGTACACGAAATCTAGTGGTCTCACTCAAATAGAAGGTAGGAAATAAATTCATCTAGTGAACGTAAAGGTTTGAAAGGTAACTAACCTACATGTGTAGAGAAAATGGTGCATCGGCCAGTCTGACCGGCATTTCGCACTTATAGTGCAAGTAGGGCCAAGGAGAACGGAAACGCTCATTTCTCAAAAAGTAAAGGGAATCTAGCGGTCTCACTCGATCAGAAGGTGGGAAATATATAAATCTAGTCAGCTAATAAGGTTCAGAAGGAATCTAATGCATATGTATATGGAAAGTGGTGCATTGGCCAGGTCGGTCAGTATGGGAACTTAGAGTGCAAATGCCTGGGAGAACGGAACCGCTCAGATCTCGCATAATGCACGGAATCTAGTGGTCTCACTCAAATATAAGGTAGGAAATATATTCATCTAGTGAACGTAAGGGTTTGAAAGGTAACTAACGCACATGTGTAGAGAAAATGGTGCATCGGCCAGTCTGGCCGGCATTTCGCACTCATAGTGCAGGTGGGGCCAGAGAGAACGGAAACGCTCGTTTCTCAAAAAGTAGAGGGAATCTAATCGTCTCACTCGATCAGAAGGTGGGAAATATATAAATCTAGTCAGCTAAAAAGGTTTGAAATGTATTCAACGCACATGTATAGAGAAAATGGTGCATTGGCCAGGTCGGTCAGTATCGGAACTTAAAATGCAAATGCCAGGGAGAACGGAAGCGCTCAGATCTCGCATAGTACACGGAATCAAGTGGTCTCACTCAAATAGAAAGTAGGAAATATATTCATCTAGTGAACGTAAGGGTTTGAAAGGTAACTAACGCACATGTGTAGAGAAAATGGTGCGTCGGCCAGTCTGGCCGGCATTTCGCACTTATAGTGCAAGTAGGGCCAAGGAGAACGGAAACGCTCATTTCTCAAAAAGTAAAGGGAATCTAGCGGTCTCACTCGATCAAAAGGTGGGAAATATATAAATCTAGTGAGCTAATAAGGTTCGAAAGGAATCTAATGCATATGTATATGGAAAATGGTGCATTGGCCAGGTCGGTCAGTATGGGAACTTAGAGTGCAAATGCCAGGGAGAACGGAAGCGCTCAGATCTCGCATAGTACACGAAATCTAGTGGTCTCACTCAAATAGAAGGTAGGAAATAAATTCATCTAGTGAACGTAAAGGTTTGAAAGGTAACTAACCTATATGTGTAGAGAAAATGGTGCATCGGCCAGTCTGACCGGCATTTCGCACTTATAGTGCAAGTAGGGCCAAGGAGAACGGAAACGCTCATTTCTCAAAAAGTAAAGGGAATCTAGCGGTCTCACTCGATCAGAAGGTGGGAAATATATAAATCTAGTCAGCTAATAAGGTTCAGAAGGAATCTAATGCATATGTATATGGAAAGTGGTGCATTGGCCAGGTCGGTCAGTATGGGAACTTAGAGTGCAAATGCCTGGGAGAACGGAACCGCTCAGATCTCGCATAATGCACGGAATCTAGTGGTCTCACTCAAATATAAGGTAGGAAATATATTCATCTAGTGAACGTAAGGGTTTGAAAGGTAACTAACGCACATGTGTAGAGAAAATGGTGCATCGGCCAGTCTGGCCGGCATTTCGCACTCATAGTGCAGGTGGGGCCAGAGAGAACGGAAACGCTCGTTTCTCAAAAAGTAGAGGGAATCTAATGGTCTCACTTGATCAGAAGGTGGGAAATATATAAATCTAGTCAGCTAAAAAGGTTTGAAATGTATTCAACGCACATGTATAGAGAAAATGGTGCATTGGCCAGGTCGGTCAGTATCGGAACTTAAAATGCAAATGCCAGGGAGAACGGAAGCGCTCACATCTCGCATAGTACACGGAATCAAGTGGTCTCACTCAAATAGAAAGTTGGAAATATATTCATCTGGTGAACGTAAGGGTTTGAAAGGTAACTAACGCACATGTGTAGAGAAAATGGTGCATCGGCCAGTCTGGCCGGCATTTCGCACTTGTAGTGCAAGTAGGGCCAAGGAGAACGGAAACGCTCATTTCTCAAAAAGTAAAGGGAATCTAGCGGTCTCACTCGATCAGAAGGTGGGAAATATATAAATCTAGTGAGCTAATAAGGTTCGAAAGGAATCTAATGCATATGTATATGGAAAGTGGTGCATTGGCCAGGTCGGTCAGTATGGGAACTTAGAGTGCAAATGCATGGGAGAACGGAACCGCTCAGATCTCGCATAATACACGGAATCTAGTGGTCTCACTCAAATATAAGGTAGGAAATCTATTCATCTAGTGAACATAAGGGTTTGAAAGGTAACTAACGCACATGTGTAGAGAAAATTGTGCATCGACCAGTCTGGCCGGCATTTCGCACTTATAGTGCAACTAGGGCCAAGGAGAACGGAAACGCTCATTTCTCAAAAAGTAGAGGGAATCTAGCGGTCTCACTCGATCAGAAGGTGGGAAATATATAAATCTAGTGAGCTAATAAGGTTCGAAAGGAATCTAATACATATGTATATGGAAAATGGTGCATTGGCTAGGTCGGTCAGTATGGGAACTTAGAGTGCAAATGACATGGAAGTGGACGTGGACGTGGACATGGACATGGACATGGACGTGGACGTGGTCTATGTCCAAGTCCATGTCCCTGTCTACGTCGACGTCCATGTCCAAGTCCATGTCCCTGTCTACGTCCACGTCCACGTCCATGTCCACGTCCACGTCCTCGTCCACGTCCAGGTCCACGTCCATGTCTACGTCCACGTCCACGTCCACGTCCATGTCCACGTCCAAGTCCATGTCCACGACCACGTCCACGTCCACGACGACGTCCACGTCCACGTCCACGTCCACGTCCACGTCTAAGTCCATGTCCATGTCCACGTCCATGTCCACGTCCACGTCCATGTCCATGTCCACGTCCACGTCCACGTCCACGTCCACGTCCACGTCCACGTCCACGTCCACGTCCATGTCCACGTCCAGGTCCACGTTCACGTCCATGTCCACGTCCAAGTTCTCCACGTCCACGTCCACGTCCACGTCCACGTCCATGTCCACGTCCATGTTCACGTCCACGTCTTGTCCACGTCCACGTCCACGTCCACGTCCTTGACCATGTCCACGTCCACGTCCATGTCCACGTCCACGTCCACGTCCATGTCCACGTCCATGTCCACGTCCACGTCCACGTCCACGTCCACGTCCATGTCCACGTCCACGTCCACGTCCACGTCCACGTCCATGTCCACGTCCACGTCCACGTCCATGTCCACGTCCAAGTCCTCCACGTCCACGTCCACGTCCACGTTCACGTCCATGTCCACGTCCAAGTTCTCCACGTCCACGTCCACGTCCACGTCCACGTCCACGTCCATGTCCACGTCCACGTCCACGTCGACGTCCACGTCCACGTCCATGTCCACGTCCACGTCCACTCCACGTCCACTCCACGTCCACGTCCACGTCCACGTCTACGTCCACGTCCATGTCCACGTCCATGTCCACGTCCACGTCCACGTCCATGTCCACGTCCATGTCCACGTCCACGTCCACGTCCACGTCCATGTCCGGTCCACGTCCACGTCCACGTCCACGTCCATGTCACGTCCACGTCCACGTCCATGTCCACGTCCACGTCCACGTCAACGTCCACGTCCACGTCCACGTCCACTCCACGTCCACGTCCATGTCCACGTCCAAGTCCTCCACGTCCACGTCCACGTCCACGTCCACGTCCACGTCCACGTCCTCCACGTCCACGTCCACGTCCACGTCCACGTCCATGTCCACGTCCACGTCCACGTCTACGTCTACGTCCACGTCCATGTCCACGTCCACGTCCACGTCCACGTCCATGTCCACGTCCATGTCCACGTCCACGTCCATGTCCATGTCCACGTCCACGTCCACGTCCAGGTCCACGTCCACGTCCACGTCCACGTCCACGTCCACGTCCATGTCCACGTCCACGTCCACGTCCACGTCCATGTCCACGTCCATGTCCACGTCCACGTCCACGTCCACGTCCACGTCCATGTCCACGTCCACGTCCACGTCCACGTCCACGTCCATGTCCACGTCCACGTCCATGTCCATGTCCACGTCCAAGTCCTCCACGTCCACGTCCACGTCCACGTTCACGTCCATGTCCACGTCCAAGTTCTCCACGTCCACGTCCACGTCCACGTCCACGTCCTCCACATCCACGTCCACGTCCACGTCCACGTCCATGTCCACGTCCACGTCCACGTCGACGTCCACGTCCACGTCCATGTCCACGTCCACGTCCACTCCACGTCCACTCCACGTCCACGTCCACGTCCACGTCTACGTCCACGTCCATGTCCACGTCCATGTCCACGTCCACGTCCACGTCCATGTCCACGTCCATGTCCACGTCCACGTCCACGTCCACGTCCATGTCCGGTCCACGTCCACGTCCACGTCCACGTCCATGTCACGTCCACGTCCACGTCCATGTCCACGTCCACGTCCACGTCAACGTCCACGTCCACGTCCACGTCCACTCCACGTCCACGTCCATGTCCACGTCCAAGTCCTCCACGTCCACGTCCACGTCCACGTCCACGTCCACGTCCTCCACGTCCACGTCCACGTCCACGTCCACGTCCATGTCCACGTCCACGTCCACGTCTACGTATACGTCCACGTCCATGTCCACGTCCATGTCCACGTCCACGTCCACGACCATGTCCACGTCCACGTCCATGTCCACGTCCACGTCCACGTCCACGTCCATGTCCAGGTCCACGTCCACGTCCACGTCCACGTCCACGTCCACGTCCATGTCCACGTCCACGTCCACGTCCACGTCCACGTCCACGTACATGTCCACGTCCACGTCCACGTCCATGTCCACGTCCAAGTCCTCCACGTCCACGTCCATGTCCACGTTCACGTCCCTGTCCAGGTCCAAGTTCTCCACGTCCACGTCCACGTCCACGTCCACGTCCTCCACGTCCACGTCCACGTCCACGTCCATGTCCACGTCCACGTCCACTCCACGTCCACTCCACGTCCACGTCCACGTCCACGTCCATGTCCACGTCCATGTCCACGTCCACGTCCACGTCCATGTCCACGTCCATGTCCACGTCCACGTCCACGTCCACCTCCATGTTCACGTCCACGTCCACGTCCATATCCACGTCCACGTCCACGTCCACGTCCACGTCACGTCCACATCCACGTCCACGTCCATGTCCACGTCCACGTCCACGTCAACGTCCACGTCCACGTCCACGTCCACTCCACGTCCACCTCCATGTCCACGTCCAAGTCCTCCACGTCCACCTCCACGTCCACGTTCACGTCCATATCCACGTCCAAGTTCTCCACGTCCACGTCCACGTCCACGTCCACGTCCTCCACGTCCACGTCCTCGTCTGTTCACGTCCACGTCCACATCCACGTCCATGTCCACGTCCACGTCTACGTCTACGTCCACGTCCATGTCCACGTCCACGTCCACGTCCACGTCCATGTCCACGTCCATGTCCACATCCACGTCCACGTCCACGTCCACGTCCACGTCCACGTCCACGTCCAGGTCCACGTCCACGTCCACGTCCACGTCCACGTCCACTCCACGTCCACCTCCACGTCCACGTCCACCTCCACGTCCACGTCCACGTCCACGTCCACGTCCACGTCCATGTCCACGTCCATGTTCACGTCCACGTCTTGTTCACGTCCACGTCCATGTCCACGTCCACGTCCCATCCACGTCCACGTCCACGTCCACGACCATGTCCACGTCCACGTCCATGTCCACGTCCACGTCCACGTCCACGTCCACGTCCATGTCCAGGTCCATGTCCACGTCCACGTCCACGTCCACCTCCACGTCCACGTCCATGTCCACGTCCACGTCCACGTCCACGTCCACGTCCACGTCCACGTCCACGTCCATGTCCGCGTCCACGTCCACGTCCATGTCCACGTCCATGTCCACGTCCACGTCCACGTCCACCTCCATGTCCACGTCTACGTCTACGTCCACGTCCATGTCCACGTCCACGTCCACGTCCACGTCCATGTCCACGTCCATGTCCACATCCACGTCCACGTCCACGTCCACGTCCACGTCCACGTCCAGGTCCACGTCCACGTCCTAGTCCACGTCCACGTCCACTCCACGTCCACCTCCACGTCCACGTCCACCTCCACGTCCACGTCCACGTCCACGTCCACGTCCATGTCCACGTCCATGTTCACGTCCACGTCTTGTTCACGTCCACGTCCATGTCCACGTCCACGTCCCATCCACGTCCACGTCCACGTCCACGACCATGTCCACGTCCACGTCCATGTCCACGTCCACGTCAACGTCCACGTCCACGTCCACGTCCACGTCAACGTCCACGTCCACGTCCACGTCCAAGTCCTCCACGTCCACGTCCACGTCCACGTTCACGTCCTCCACTTCCACCTCCACGTCCACGTTCACGTCCATGTCCACGTCCAAGTTCTCCATGTCCACGTCCACGTCCACGTCCACGTCCACGTCCTCCACGTCCACGTCCACGTCCACGTCCACGTCCACGTCTACGTCCACCTCCACGTCCACGTCCACGTCCAGGTCCACATCCATGTCCACGTCCACGTCCACGTCCACGTCCACGTCCACGTCCACGTCCACGTCCACGTCCACGTCCAACTCCACGTCCACCTCCACGTCCACGTCCACGTCCACGTCCACGTCCATGTCCACGTCCACGTCCACGTCCACGTCCATGTCCACGTCCACCTCCACGTCCACGTCCACGTCGACGTCCACGTCCATGTCCACGTCCACGTCCACGTCCACGTCCATGTCCACGTCCACGTCCATGTCCACGTCCATGTCCACGTCCACGTCTTGTTCACGTCCACGTCCATGTCCACGTCCACGTCCACGTCCACGTCCACGACCAGGTCCACGTCCACGTCCATGTCCACGTCCACGTCCACGTCCATGTCGAGGTCCATGTCCACGTCCACGTCCACGTCCACGTCCATGTCCACGTCCACGTCCACGTCCACGTCCACGTCCATGTCCACGTCAACGTCCACGTCCATGTCCACGTCCAAGTCCTCCACGTCCACGTCCACGTCCACGTTCACGTCCATGTCCACGTCCAAGTTCTCCACGTCCACGTCCACGTCCATGTCCACGTCCACGTCCACTCCACGTCCACTCCACGTCCACGTCCACGTCCACGTCCACGTCCACGTCCATGTCCACGTCCACGTCCACGTCCATGTCCACGTCCATGTCCACGTCCACGTCCACGTCCACCTCCATGTCCACGTCCACGTCTACGTCCACGTCCATGTCCACGTCCACGTCCATGTCCACGTCCACATCACGTCCACATCCACGTCCACGTCCATGTCCACGTCCACGTCCACGTCAACGTCCACGTCCACGTCCACTCCACGTCCACGTCCATGTCCACGTCCAAGTCCTCCACGTCCACCTCCACGTCCACGTTCACGTCCATGTCCACGTCCAAGTTCTCCACGTCCACGTCCACGTCCACGTCCTCCACGTCCACGTCCACGTCCACGTCCACGTCCACGTCCACGTCTACGTCCACCTCCACGTCCACGTCCACGTCCATGTCCACATCCATGTCCACGTCCACGTCCACGTCCACGTCCACGTCCATGTCCACGTCCACGTCCACGTCCACGTCCACGTCCACGTCCACTCCACGTCCACCTCCACGTCCACGTCCACCTCCACGTCCACGTCCACGTCCACGTCCACGTCCACGTCCATGTCCACGTCCACCTCCACGTCCACGTCCATGTCCACGTCCAAGTTCTCCACGTCCACGTCCACGTCCACGTCCACGTCCATGTCCACGTCCACGTCCACGTCCACGTCCACGTCCACGTCCACGTCCACTCCACGTCCACGTCCATGTCCACGTCCAAGTCCTCCACGTCCACGTCCACGTCCACGTCCACGTCCACGTCCACGTCCTCCACGTCCACGTCCACGTCCACGTCCACGTCCATGTCCACGTCCACGTCCACGTCTACGTCTACGTCCACGTCCATGTCCACGTCCACGTCCACGTCCACGTCCATGTCCACGTCCATGTCCACGTCCACGTCCATGTCCATGTCCACGTCCACGTCCACGTCCACGTCCACGTCCACGTCCACGTCCACGTCCATGTCCACGTCCAGGTCCACGTTCACGTCCATGTCCACGTCCAAGTTCTCCACGTCCACGTCCACGTCCACGTCCACGTCCACGTCCATGTCCACGTCCATGTTCACGTCCACGTCTTGTCCACGTCCACGTCCACGTCCACGTCCTTGACCATGTCCACGTCCACGTCCATGTCCACGTCCACGTCCACGTCCACGTCCATGTCCACGTCCATGTCCACGTCCACGTCCACGTCCACGTCCACGTCCATGTCCACGTCCACGTCCACGTCCACGTCCACGTCCACGTCCATGTCCACGTCCACGTCCATGTCCATGTCCACGTCCAAGTCCTCCACGTCCACGTCCACGTCCACGTTCACGTCCATGTCCACGTCCAAGTTCTCCACGTCCACGTCCACGTCCACGTCCACGTCCTCCACATCCACGTCCACGTCCACGTCCACGTCCATGTCCACGTCCACGTCCACGTCGACGTCCACGTCCACGTCCATGTCCACGTCCACGTCCACTCCACGTCCACTCCACGTCCACGTCCACGTCCACGTCTACGTCCACGTCCATGTCCACGTCCATGTCCACGTCCACGTCCACGTCCATGTCCACGTCCATGTCCACGTCCACGTCCACGTCCACGTCCATGTCCGGTCCACGTCCACGTCCACGTCCACGTCCATGTCACGTCCACGTCCACGTCCATGTCCACGTCCACGTCCACGTCAACGTCCACGTCCACGTCCACGTCCACTCCACGTCCACGTCCATGTCCACGTCCAAGTCCTCCACGTCCACGTCCACGTCCACGTCCACGTCCACGTCCTCCACGTCCACGTCCACGTCCACGTCCACGTCCATGTCCACGTCCACGTCCACGTCTACGTATACGTCCACGTCCATGTCCACGTCCATGTCCACGTCCACGTCCACGACCATGTCCACGTCCACGTCCATGTCCACGTCCACGTCCACGTCCACGTCCATGTCCAGGTCCACGTCCACGTCCACGTCCACGTCCACGTCCACGTCCATGTCCACGTCCACGTCCACGTCCACGTCCACGTCCACGTACATGTCCACGTCCACGTCCACGTCCATGTCCACGTCCAAGTCCTCCACGTCCACGTCCATGTCCACGTTCACGTCCCTGTCCAGGTCCAAGTTCTCCACGTCCACGTCCACGTCCACGTCCACGTCCTCCACGTCCACGTCCACGTCCACGTCCATGTCCACGTCCACGTCCACTCCACGTCCACTCCACGTCCACGTCCACGTCCACGTCCATGTCCACGTCCATGTCCACGTCCACGTCCACGTCCATGTCCACGTCCATGTCCACGTCCACGTCCACGTCCACCTCCATGTTCACGTCCACGTCCACGTCCATATCCACGTCCACGTCCACGTCCACGTCCACGTCACGTCCACATCCACGTCCACGTCCATGTCCACGTCCACGTCCACGTCAACGTCCACGTCCACGTCCACGTCCACTCCACGTCCACCTCCATGTCCACGTCCAAGTCCTCCACGTCCACCTCCACGTCCACGTTCACGTCCATATCCACGTCCAAGTTCTCCACGTCCACGTCCACGTCCACGTCCACGTCCTCCACGTCCACGTCCTCGTCTGTTCACGTCCACGTCCACGTCCACGTCCATGTCCACGTCCACGTCTACGTCTACGTCCACGTCCATGTCCACGTCCACGTCCACGTCCACGTCCATGTCCACGTCCATGTCCACATCCACGTCCACGTCCACGTCCACGTCCACGTCCACGTCCACGTCCAGGTCCACGTCCACGTCCACGTCCACGTCCACGTCCACTCCACGTCCACCTCCACGTCCACGTCCACCTCCACGTCCACGTCCACGTCCACGTCCACGTCCACGTCCATGTCCACGTCCATGTTCACGTCCACGTCTTGTTCACGTCCACGTCCATGTCCACGTCCACGTCCCATCCACGTCCACGTCCACGTCCACGACCATGTCCACGTCCACGTCCATGTCCACGTCCACGTCCACGTCCACGTCCACGTCCATGTCCAGGTCCATGTCCACGTCCACGTCCACGTCCACCTCCACGTCCACGTCCATGTCCACGTCCACGTCCACGTCCACGTCCACGTCCACGTCCACGTCCACGTCCATGTCCGCGTCCACGTCCACGTCCATGTCCACGTCCATGTCCACGTCCACGTCCACGTCCACCTCCATGTCCACGTCTACGTCTACGTCCACGTCCATGTCCACGTCCACGTCCACGTCCACGTCCATGTCCACGTCCATGTCCACATCCACGTCCACGTCCACGTCCACGTCCACGTCCACGTCCAGGTCCACGTCCACGTCCTAGTCCACGTCCACGTCCACTCCACGTCCACCTCCACGTCCACGTCCACCTCCACGTCCACGTCCACGTCCACGTCCACGTCCACGTCCATGTCCACGTCCATGTTCACGTCCACGTCTTGTTCACGTCCACGTCCATGTCCACGTCCACGTCCCATCCACGTCCACGTCCACGTCCACGACCATGTCCACGTCCACGTCCATGTCCACGTCCACGTCAACGTCCACGTCCACGTCCACGTCCACGTCAACGTCCACGTCCACGTCCACGTCCAAGTCCTCCACGTCCACGTCCACGTCCACGTTCACGTCCTCCACTTCCACCTCCACGTCCACGTTCACGTCCATGTCCACGTCCAAGTTCTCCATGTCCACGTCCACGTCCACGTCCACGTCCACGTCCTCCACGTCCACGTCCACGTCCACGTCCACGTCCACGTCTACGTCCACCTCCACGTCCACGTCCACGTCCAGGTCCACATCCATGTCCACGTCCACGTCCACGTCCACGTCCACGTCCACGTCCACGTCCACGTCCACGTCCACGTCCAACTCCACGTCCACCTCCACGTCCACGTCCACGTCCACGTCCACGTCCATGTCCACGTCCACGTCCACGTCCACGTCCATGTCCACGTCCACCTCCACGTCCACGTCCACGTCGACGTCCACGTCCATGTCCACGTCCACGTCCACGTCCACGTCCATGTCCACGTCCACGTCCATGTCCACGTCCATGTCCACGTCCACGTCTTGTTCACGTCCACGTCCATGTCCACGTCCACGTCCACGTCCACGTCCACGACCAGGTCCACGTCCACGTCCATGTCCACGTCCACGTCCACGTCCATGTCGAGGTCCATGTCCACGTCCACGTCCACGTCCACGTCCATGTCCACGTCCACGTCCACGTCCACGTCCACGTCCATGTCCACGTCAACGTCCACGTCCATGTCCACGTCCAAGTCCTCCACGTCCACGTCCACGTCCACGTTCACGTCCATGTCCACGTCCAAGTTCTCCACGTCCACGTCCACGTCCATGTCCACGTCCACGTCCACTCCACGTCCACTCCACGTCCACGTCCACGTCCACGTCCACGTCCACGTCCATGTCCACGTCCACGTCCACGTCCATGTCCACGTCCATGTCCACGTCCACGTCCACGTCCACCTCCATGTCCACGTCCACGTCTACGTCCACGTCCATGTCCACGTCCACGTCCATGTCCACGTCCACGTCACGTCCACATCCACGTCCACGTCCATGTCCACGTCCACGTCCACGTCAACGTCCACGTCCACGTCCACTCCACGTCCACGTCCATGTCCACGTCCAAGTCCTCCACGTCCACCTCCACGTCCACGTTCACGTCCATGTCCACGTCCAAGTTCTCCACGTCCACGTCCACGTCCACGTCCTCCACGTCCACGTCCACGTCCACGTCCACGTCCACGTCCACGTCTACGTCCACCTCCACGTCCACGTCCACGTCCATGTCCACATCCATGTCCACGTCCACGTCCACGTCCACGTCCACGTCCATGTCCACGTCCACGTCCACGTCCACGTCCACGTCCACGTCCACTCCACGTCCACCTCCACGTCCACGTCCACCTCCACGTCCACGTCCACGTCCACGTCCACGTCCACGTCCACGTCCATGTCCACGTCCACCTCCACGTCCACGTCCATGTCCACGTCCAAGTTCTCCACGTCCACGTCCACGTCCACGTCCACGTCCATGTCCACGTCCACGTCCACGTCCACGTCCATGTCCACGTCCACGTCCATGTCCACGTCCATGTCCACGTCCACGTCTTGTTCACGTCCACGTCCATGTCCACGTCCACGTCCACGTCCACGTCCATGTCCACGTCCACGACCAGGTCCACGTCCACGTCCATGTCCACGTCCACGTCCACGTCCATGTCCAGGTCCATATCCACGTCCACGTCCACGTCCACGTCCACGTCCATGTCCACGTCCACGTCCACGTCCACGTCCATGTCCACGTCCACGTCCACGTCCATGTCCACGTCCAAGTCCTCCACGTCCACGTCCACGTCCACGTTCACGTCCATGTCCACGTCCAAGTTCTCCACGTCCACGTCCACGTCCACGTCCACGTCCTCCACGTCCACGTCCACGTCTACGTCCACGTCCACGTCCACGTCCACGTCCACGTCCATGTCCACGTCCACGTCCACTCCACGTCCACTCCACGTCCACGTCCACGTCCACGTCCACGTCCATGTCCACGTCCATGTCCACGTCCACGTCCACCTCCATGTCCACGTCCACGTCCACGTCCACCTCCATGTCCACGTCCACGTCCACGTCCACGTCCACGTCCATCTCCACGTCCACGTCCACGTCAACGTCCACGTCCACGTCCACGTCCATGTCCACGTCCAAGTCCTCCACGTCCACGTCCACGTCCACGTTCACGTCCATGTCCACGTCCAAGTTCTCCACGTCCACGTCCACGTCCACGTCCACGTCCACGTCCTCCACGTCCACGTCCACGTCCACGTCCTCCACGTCCACGTCCACGTCCACGTCCATGTCCACGTCCACGTCCATGTCGACGTCCACGTCCACGTCCACGTCCATGTCTACGTCCATGTCCACGTCCACGTCCACGTCCACGTCCACGTCCACGTCCATGTCCACGTCCACGTCCACATCCATGTCCACGTCCACTCCACGTCCACCTCCACGTCCACGTCCACCTCCACGTCCACGTCCACGTCCACGTCCACGTCCATGTCCACGTCCAGGTCCACGTTCACGTCCATGTCCACGTCCAAGTTCTCCACGTCCACGTCCACGTCCACGTCCACGTCCATGTCCACGTCCACGTCCATGTCCACGTCCACGTTCACGTCCACGTCTTGTTCACGTCCACGTCCATGTCCACGTCCACGTCCACGTCCACGTCCACGTCCACGTCCACATCCATGTCCACGTCCACGTCCACGTCCACGTCCATGTCCAGGTCCATGTCCACGTCCACGTCCACGTCCACGTCCATGTCCACGTCCACGTCCACGTCCACGTCCACGTCCATGTCCACGTCCACGTCCACGTCCATGTCCACGTCCAAGTCCTCCACGTCCACGTCCACGTCCACGTTCACGTCCATGTCCACGTCCAAGTTCTCCACGTCCACGTCCACGTCCACGTCCACGTCCTCCACGTCCACGTCCACGTCCACGTCCACGTCCACGTCCTCCTCGTCCACGTCCACGTCCACGTCCACGTCCACGTCCACGTCCACTCCACGTCCACCTCCACGTCCACGTCCACGTCCACGTCCACGTCCATGTCCACGTCCATGTCCACGTCCATGTCCACGTCCAAGTTCTCCACGTCCACGTCCACGTCCACGTCCACGTCCATGTCCACGTCCACGTCCATGTCCACGTCCATGTTCACGTCCAGGTCTTGTTCACGTCCACGTCCATGTCCACGTCCACGTCCACGTCCACGTCCACGACCATGTCCACGTCCACGTCCATGTCCACGTCCACGTCCACGTCCATGTCCAGGTCCATGTCCACGTCCACGTCCACGTCCACGTCCACGTCCATGTCCACGTCCACGTCCACGTCCACGTCCACGTCCATGTCCACGTCCACGTCCACGTCCATGTCCACGTCCAAGTCCTTCACGTCCACGTCCACGTCCACGTTCACGTCCATGTCCACGTCCAAGTTCTCCACGTCCACGTCCACGTCCACGTCCACGTCCACGTCCTCCACGTCCTCGTCCACGTCCACGTCCACGTTCACGTCCACGTCCACGTCCATGTCCACGTCCACGTCCATGTCCACGTCCACGTCCACTCCACGTCCACTCCACGTCCACGTCCACGTCCACGTCCATGTCCACGTCCACGTCCACGTCCACGTCCACGTCCACATCCACGTCCAGGTCCACGTCCACGTCCACGTCCACCTCCATGTCCACATCCACGTCCACGTCCACGTCCATGTCCACGTCCACGTCCACGTCCACGTCCACGTCACGTCCACGTCCACGTCCATGTCCACGTCCACGTCCATGTCAACGTCCACGTCCACGTCCACTCCACGTCCACGTCCATGTCCACGTCCAAGTCCTCCACGTCCACGTCCACGTCCACGTTCACGTCCATGTCCACGTCCAAGTTCTCCACGTCCACGTCAACGTCCACGTCCACGTCCAAGTCCTCCACGTCCACGTCCACGTCCACCTCCACGTCCATGTCCACGTCCACGTCCACGTCTACGTCTACGTCCACGTCCATGTCCACGTCCACGTCCACGTCCACGTCCATGTCCACGTCCATGTCCACGTCCACGTCCACGTCCACGTCCACGTCCACGTCCACGTCCACGTCCATGTCCACGTCCACGTCCACGTCCACTCCACGTCCACCTCCACGTCCACGTCCACCTCCACGTCCACGTCCACGTCCACGTCCACGTCCATGTCCACGTCCATGTCCACGTCCAGGTCCACGTTCATGTCCATGTCCACGTCCAAGTTCTCCACGTCCACGTCCACGTCCACGTCCATGTCCACGTCCACGTCCATGTCCACGTCCATGTTCACGTCCACGTCTTGTTCACGTCCACGTCCATGTCCACCTCAACGTCCACGTCCACGTCCACGTCCACGACCATGTCCACGTCCACGTCCATGTCCACGTCCACGTCCACGTCCATGTCCAGGTCCATGTCCACGTCCACGTCCACGTCCACGTCCACGTCGATGTCCACGTCCACGTCCACGTCCATGTCCACGTCCATGTCCACGTCCACGTCCACGTCCATGTCCACGTCCAAGTCCTCCACGTCCACGTCCACGTCCACGTTCACGTCCATGTCCACGTCCAAGTTCTCCACGTCCACGTCCACGTCCACGTCCACGTCCTCCACGTCCACGTCCACGTCCACGTCCACGTCCTCGTCCACGTCCTCGACCACGTCCACGTCCACGTCCACGTCCACTCCACGTCCACTCCACGTCCACGTCCACGTCCACGTCCACGTCCACTCCACGTCCATGTCCACGTCCATGTCCACGTCCACCTCCACGTCCACGTCCACGTCCACGTCCACGTCCACGTCCACCTCCATGTCCACGTCCACGTCCACGTCCACCTCCATGTCCACGTCCACGTCCACGTCCACGTCACGTCCACGTCCACGTCCATGTCCACGTCCACGTCCACGTCAACGTCAACGTCCACGTCCACGTCCACTCCACGTCCACGTCCATGTCCACGTCCAAGTCCTCCACGTCCACGTCCACGTCCACGTTCACGTCCATGTCCACGTCCAAGTTCTCCACGTCCACGTCCACGTCCACGTCCACGTCCTCCACGTCCACGTCCACGTCCACGTCCACGTCCATGTCCACGTCCACGTCTACGTCTACGTCCACGTCCATGTCCACGTCCACGTCCACGTCCACGTCCACGTCCATGTCCACGTCCATGTCCACGTCCACGTCCAGGTCCACGTCCACGTCCACGTCCACGTCCACCTCCACGTCCACGTCCACCTCCACGTCCACGTCCACCTCCACGTCCCACTCCACGTCCACCTTCACGTCCACGTCCACGTCCACGTCGCCACGTCCATGTCCATGTCCACGTCCACGTTCACGTCCATGTCCACGTCCATGTCCACGTCCAGGTCCACGTCCACGTCCACGTCCACGTCCAAGTTCTCCACGTCCACGTCCACGTCCACGTCCACGTCCACGTCCATGTCCACGTCCACGTCCATGTCCACGTCCATGTTCACGTCCACGTCTTGTTCACGTCCACGTCCATGTCCACGTCCACGTCCACGTCCACTTCCACGTCCACGACCATGTCCACGTACACGTCCATGTCCACGTCCACGTCCACGTCCACGTCCATGTCCAGGTCCATGTCCACGTCTACGTCCACGTCCACGTCCACGTCCATGTCCATGTCCACGTCCACGTCCACGTCCACGTCCATTGTCCACGTCCAAGTCCTCCACGTCCACGTCCACGTCCACGTTCACGTCCATGTCCACGTCCAAGTTCTCCACGTCCACGTCCACGTCCACGTCCACGTCCACGTCCATGTCCACGTCCACGTCCACTCCACGTCCACTCCACGTCCACGTCCACGTCCACGTCCACGTCCATGTCCACGTCCATGTCCACGTCCACGTCCACGTCCATGTCCACGTCCATGTCCACGTCCACGTCCACGTCCACGTCCATGTCCACGTCCACGTCCACGTCCACGTCCATGTCCACGTCCACGTCCACGTCCACGTCCACGTCCACGTCACGTCCACGTCCACGTCCACGTCCACGTCAACGTCCACGTCCACGTCCACTCCACGTCCACGTCCATGTCCACGTCCAAGTCCTCCACGTCCACGTCCACGTTCACGTCCACGTCCATGTCCACGTCCATGTCCACGTCCATGTCCACGTCCATGTCCACGTCCACGTCCACGTCCACGTCCATGTCCACGTCCACGTCCACGTCCATGTCCACGTCCACGTCCACGTCCACGTCCACGTCCACGTCCACGTCCACGTCCACGTCCATGTCCACGTCCACGTCCACGTCCACGTCCACGTCCACGTCCACGTCCATGTCCACGTCCATGTCCACGTCCACGTCCACGTCCACGTCCACGTCCACGTCCAAGTCCACGTCCACTCCACGTCCACCTCCACGTCCACGTCCACCTCCACGTCCACGTCCACGTCCACGTCCACGTCCAAGTCCACGTCCACGTCCATGTCCACGTCCAGGTCCACGTTCACGTCCATGTCCACGTCCAAGTTCTCCACGTCCACGTCCACGTCCACGTCCACGTCCACGTCTACGTCCATGTCCACGTCCACGTCCATGTCCACGTCCATGTTCACGTCCACGTCTTGTTCACGTCCACGTCCATGTCCACGTCCACGTCCACGTCCACGACCATGTCCACGTCCATGTCCACGTCCACGTCTACGTCCATGTCCAGGTCCATGTCCACGTCCACGTCCACGTCCATGTCCCCGTCCACGTCCACGTCCATGTCCACGTCCACGTCCATGTCCACGTCCAAGTCCTCCACGTCCACGTCCACGTCCACATTCACGTCCATGTCCACGTCCAAGTTCTCCACGTCCACGTCCACGTCCACGTCCACGTCCTCCACGTCCACGTCCACGTCCACGTCCACGTCCACGTCCACGTCCACGTCCACGTCACTCCACGTCCACGTCCACGTCCACGTCCACGTCCACGTCCACTCCACGTCCACTCACGTCCACGTCACGTCCACGTCCACGTCCACGTCCACGTCCAGTCCACGTCCACGTCCATGTCCACGTCCATGTCCGTCCACGTCCATGTCCACGTCCATGTCCACGTCCACGTCCACGTCCACCTCCATGTCCACGTCCACGTCTACGTCCACGTCCATGTCCACGTCCACGTCCACGTCCACGTCCACGTCACGTCCACGTCCACGTCCATGTCCACGTCCACGTCCACGTCAACGTCCACGTCCACGTGCACTCCACGTCCACGTCCATGTCCACGTCCAAGTCCTCCACGTCCATGTCCACGTCCACGTTCACGTCCATGTCCACGTCCACGTCCACGTCCACGTCCACGTCCACGTCCACGTCCACGTCCACGTCCATGTCCACGTCCACGTCCACGTCCACGTCCACGTCCACGTCCACGTCCACGTCCATGTCCACGTCCATGTCCACGTCCACGTCCACGTCCACGTCCACGTCCACGTCCACGTCCACGTCCACGTCCACGTCCACCTCCACGTCCACGTCCACCTCCACGTCCACGTCCACGTCCACGTCCACGTCCAAGTCCACGTCCACGTCCATGTCCACGTCCAGGTCCACGTTCACAGTCCATGTCCACGTCCAAGTTCTCCAAGTCCACGTCCACGTCCACTTCCACGTCCACGTCTACGTCCATGTCCACGTCCACGTCCATGTCCACGCCATGTTCACGTCCACGTCTTGTTCACGGTCCACGTCCATGTCCACGTCCACGTCCACGTCCACGACCATGTCCACGTCCATGTCCACGTCCACGTCTACGTCCATGTCCAGGTCCATGTCCACGTCCACGTCCACGTCCTATGTCCCCGTCCACGTCCACGTCCATGTCCACGTCCACGTCCATGTCCACGTCCAAGTCCTCCACGTCCACGTCCACAGTCCACATTCACGTCCATAGTCCACGTCCAAGTTCCTCCACGTCCACGTCCACGTCCACGTCCTCCACGTCCGTCCACGTCCACGTCCACGTCCACGTCCACGTCCACTCCACGTCCACTCCACGTCCACGTCCACGTCACGTCCACGTCCACGTCCAATCCACGTCCACTCCACGTCCACGTCCACGTCCACGTCCACGTCCATGTCCACGTCCATGTCCACGTCCACGTCCACGTCCATGTCCACGTCCATGTCCACGTCCACGTCCACGTCCATGTCCACGTCCATGTCCACGTCCACGTCCACGTCCACCTCCATGTCCACGTCCACGTCTACGTCCACGTCCATGTCCACGTCCACGTCCACGTCCACGTCCACGTCACGTCCACGTCCACGTCCATGTCCACGTCCACGTCCACGTCAACGTCCACGTCCACGTGCACTCCACGTCCACGTCCATGTCCACGTCCAAGTCCTCCACGTCCACGTCCACGTCCACGTTCACGTCCATGTCCACGTCCAAGTTCTCCACGTCCACGTCCACGTCCACGTCCACGTCCACGTCCTCCACGTCCACGTCCACGTCCTGTCCACGTCCATGTCCACGTCCACGTCCACGTCTACGTCTACGTCCACGTCCATGTCCACGTCCACGTCCATGTCCACGTCCATGTCCACGTCCACGTCCACGTCCACGTCCACGTCCACGTCCATGTCCACGTCCACGTCCACGTCCAGGTCCACGTCCACTCCACGTCCACCTCCACGTCCACGTCCACCTCCACGTCCACGTCCACGTCCACGTCCACGTCCACGTCCATGTCCACGTCCAGGTCCACGTTCACGTCCATGTCCACGTCCAAGTTCTCCACGTCCACGTCCACGTCCACGTCCACGTCCATGTCCGCGTCCACGTCCATGTCCACGTCCATGTTCACGTCCACGTCTTGTTCACGTCCACGTCCATGTCCACGTCCACGTCCACGTCCACGTCCACGACCATGTCCACGTCCACGTCCATGTCCACGTCCACGTCCACGTCCACGTCCATGTCCAGGTCCATGTCCACGTCCACGTCCACGTATACGTCCACATCTACGTCCACGTCCACGTCCACGTCCAAGTCCACGTCCACGTCCACGTCCATGTCCACGTCCAAGTCCTCCACGTCCACGTCCACGTCCACGTTCACGTCCATGTCCACGTCCAAGTTCTCCACGTCCACGTCTACGTCCACGTCCACGTCCTCCACGTCCACGTCCACGTCCACGTCCACGTCCACTCCACGTCCATTCCACGTCCACGTCCACGTTAACGTCCACGTCCACGTCCATGTCCACGTCCATGTCCACGTCCACGTCCACGTCCATGTCAACGTCCATGTCCACGTCCACGTCCACGTCCAACTCCATGTCCACGTCCACGTCCACGTCCACCTCCATGTCCACGTCCACGTCCACGTCCACGTCCACGTCACGTCCACGTCCACGTCCATGTCCACGTCCACGTCCACGTCAACGTCCACGTCCACGTCCACTCCACGTCCACGTCCATGTCCACGTCCAAGTCCTCCACGTCCACGTCCACGTCCACGTTCACGTCCATGTCCACGTGCAAGTTCTCCACGTCCACGTCCACGTCCACGTCCACGTCCACGTCCATGTCCATGTCCACGTCCACTCCACGTCCACTCCACGTCCACGTCCACGTCCACGTCCACGTCCACGTCCATGTCCACGTCCATGTCTACGTCCACGTCCACGTCCATGTCCACGTCCATGTCCACGTCCACGTCCACGTCCACGTCCATGTCCACGTCCACGTCCACGTCCACGTCCATGTCCACGTCCACATCCACGTCCACGTCCATGTCCACGTCACGTCCACGTCCACGTCACGTCCACGTCCACGTCCACGTCAACGTCCACGTCCACGTCCACGTCCACTCCACGTCCACGTCCAGGTCCACGTCCAAGTCCTCCACGTCCACGTCCACGTCCACGTTCACGTCCATGTCCACGTCCAAGTTCTCCACGTCCACGTCCACGTCCACGTCCACGTCCACGTCCTCCACGTCCACGTCCACGTCCACGTCCACGTCCATGTCCACGTCCACGTCCACGTCCACGTCTACGTCCACGTCCATGTCCACGTCCACGTCCACGTCCACGTCCACGTCCATGTCCACGTCCATGTCCACGTCCATGTCCACGTCCACGTCCGCGTCCACGTCCACGTCCACGTCCACTCCACGTCCACCTCCACGTCCACGTCCACCTCCACGTCCACGTCCACGTCCACGTCCATGTCCACGTCCACGTCCATGTCCACGTCCACGTCCACGTCCACGTCCATGTCCACTCCACGTCCACGTCCACGTCCACGTCCACGTCCATGTCCACGTCCACGTCCACGTCCATGTCCACGTCAACGTTCACGTCCATGTCCACGTCCAAGTTCTCCACGTCCACGTCCACGTCCACGTCCACGTCCACGTCCATGTCCACGTCCACGTCCATGTCCACGTCTATGTTCACGTCCACGTCTTGTTCACGTCCACGTCCATGTCCACGTCCACGTCCACGTCCATGTCCACGTCCACGACCATGTCCACGTCCACGTCCATGTCCACGTCCACGTCCACGTCCACGTCCCTGTCCAGGTCCATGTCCACGTCCACGTCCACGTCCACGTCCACGTCCACGTCCACGTCCACGTCCAAGCCATGTCCACGTCCACGTCCACGTCCATGTCAACGTCCAAGTCCTCCACGTCCACGTCCACGTCCACGTTCACGTCCATGTCCACGTCCAAGTTCTCCACGTCCACGTCCACGTCCACGTCCACGTCCTCCATGTCCACGTCCACGTCCACGTCCTCGTTCCAGGTCCACGTCCACGTCCACGTCCACAGTCCCAAGTCCACGTCCACGTCCACGTCCATGTCCACGTCCAAGTCCCTCCACGTCCACGTCCACGTCCACTTCACGTCCATGTCCACGTCCAAGTTCTCCACGTCCACGTCTACGTCCACGTCCACGTGTCCTCCGTCCACGTCCACGTCCACGTCCACGTCCACGTCCACTCCAGTCCATGTCCACGTCCACGTCCACGTTAACGTCCACGTCCATGTCCACGTCCACGTCCATGTCCACACGTCCACGTCCACGTCCACGTCCTGTCCACGTCCACGTCCACGTCCACGTCCACGTCCACGTCC